AGGATCTTACGATAGAAAGCACCAAGCCCTGCTAAAATCCTAGGAATAATAAACCATAAGGGCGGCGAGAGAACCATAAATCGATATAGTTTCCACCTCCGACGGAACCACTTCTAATTTTGCATCTATGGCTGTATATCTGAACCACTGTCTAAGGATCAGTCCAAAGAACTAGGATTCGGACCAAGGGAACTAAACTATTTTATCAGATATCCTAGAAAGACTTTGAGATTAGCACCCGCCTTTAGAAATTCGGCACTATTGCACTGTTACAAAACCAGCAGGAGTGCGACGGGTGAAAAATTTCTTTCGCTGAATCTCCTATGGAGCTTATCGAGGGTCCTCACGAATATGATATCCATTTTTGGCGCTGGCGCCATTTGGCGCCAGTGGCGCCACGACTGATTCACCAAATTCGCTGTAAACTTGTGTATAGGGGTTATTTGGGGCCTGATTACGAATATGACATTCGTTTTTGTCGTTGGCGCTATTTGGCGCCTTTTCCTGCTCGTTTGCGTTCTCTCACTACCCTGGGGGAGGGAAAAGGTCGCCGGCGGTGAGGACGCGAGCGCGTGCAGATGACGTCACAGCTGCGGCAACGGCGACGAGAGGCGAAATAGAAAGCGTTGCTGTCACTTCGCTTGAATGGTAGAAGGGTTGCTGGCACTCACTAATTAGTGCAATCAGTAGTGCCGTGAGCAAAGAGGTTGTATTGTGTGTAGGTACAATTTTCGCCGTCGAAAATTAGGAATTGTTTGCAAATTTGAGGAAATCAACGGTTTCGTGTTAAACCTAACGAGTGCGCAATTAAGTCGAAGTTGATTACATAAGTTCATTCTTCGTTATTACTTCTACTCACTGCACAGTGAAGTCAGAGTCGATAGTGTCTAATACGTTATGTTATAAAGTATTGGCGCCTGTCTTGCTCAATCCCTCGCCGCTGCTGTGACGTCAAAGTGACGTCACCCGCACGCGCTCGCATCCGCGCCGCCGGTGAGCTACTCCATGGAGCCCACTACCCTAATTGCCGGTAGATAAGCCCGCGCCGATATCACGTAAAAACACCTCGTCCAGTGTAATTTGTACACCTTAGAAACTACCGCAAATTTGCCTATAGAGGTAATTCGATGCCCTGATTACGAAAATGACTTTCATTTTAGCGGTGGCGCCATCTGGCGCCAGTTGGCGTCACCTTGTCACGACACCTGTTTTCACCAAATTTGGTGTAAACTTCCGTATAGGGGTTATTTGGTGTCCTGATTACGAATATGACATTCATTCTCGGCGCTGGCGCTATTTGGCGCCTATTTTCTGCTCGTCTGCGCTCTCCAACCGAGAAATATGCGTTGAACAACGTTAATGCCAAAAACGAATGTCATATTCGTAATCAGGGCACCAAATAACCCCTATACAGAAGTTTACACCGATTTTGGTGAAAACAAGGGTCGTGCAAAGTGACGCCAACTGGCGCCACCGACAAAAATGAATGTCATTTTTGTAATCATTCCCTATGTGGGCGAGTTACAGCTGTGTCTAGATGAATGCAAGTGCACTGCACCAGCGGAGGTGTTTTTACGTAAATCGGCCCAGCTTATCTACCGGAAATTAGGGTAATTGGGTCGCAATAGGACTAAGCCTTTCGAGAGTGGAGGGCTCCAAAGAGAGTAAGCCACTCACTCTGTGATCTCACACACTTCAACTTTTGCCACACGGTGCTTGGTTTACCCACTACACCGCATTCACTCCCTTCCCTAACTTACGTTTGTCATAGGCGCTTCAAGTGAGAGGATTCATGAAGCAGAAATGTGTTAAAACAGCGCGAACGACAGAAATGAATGTCGTATTCGCAATCAGGGCCCAAGAAGCCCCTACATACAAGTTTACAGATAGTTTAGTGAGATTCAGTCAGGGCCCATCTGAGGCCAAATGGCGCCAATTTGGCGTCAGCGCCAAAAATGGATCCCATATCGTATTCAGGACCTTCGATAACCCCTGTAGAGAAGTTTCAGCGAAAATTGACCCATTCCACCCTTTCAGGGGTTGTATCAGTGTAATAGTGCCGAAATTTTACCAACAGATTTGTAAAACTGCACACTAGGTGTATAGTCAGGCAGCGAGCGGAACTATTCTCATACCTGTTACGGACACCTTCAGGCTTATCCTTATCCTTGAAGTACGACTCCTTTCCCGAAGGTCGAGATGCTGTTGCTGGCTTCACTGACATCTGGAAAGCACTTTCCTTCAATGTCTCAACTACTAATTCTACTCGCGAAATGCGACAATATGCGAACATCTTGCTCAGAGCCTTCACGAAAACCAAAACAAAGCGATAAGAGTGGCACACCTCCCCACGTGCAGATACAGCTAACAAACACACAAAGAAAAGATTAGCCATTTCGTAAGAAATGGACTTCAGTACCTCAAAACGAGAAGGAAGTAGCTTTCGAGACAAAGTGCCGCATTCGCAGAATACTCCAGCTTTACTGCGTTTTTACGGCATGAACAGGGTATTCCTGGTAGGACCTACTAATAAATTTAAAGTTGGATTAGAGCGCGTTTACTGATGATGTTTAAAGATGTTTGCGTAGGCCTTTTTCTCAACCTTCGAAGCTGTTTTTTTGTGATCCTGACGTGGGATAATTTGCGTAGCTCTCTAATTTCGAGTTTGTTCCTTATCACATGTTTCACGAACTTCTCTTCGTTCCAGTGTCCCTTCCGATCGTCTGTTAGCTTTTCGTCAAATTTTTATCACTGTAGACGACTTTGGTGGCTTTGCAACCCATATTCCATTCCGAGTGCATCTGTAGTACTTTCGCGATTTTTCCTCATTGTGTTTGAGCCTTATGAATAAGGACAAAGGTTTAAATCTGGGACTAAATTGGTTGAGAATAAATAAATACCTTATCCCTTCTCTTAACAAAATTATTATGTGTATAATATTATGATGGATTTTCCTTAAGATGAAACAGATGGAAGATGCTCCTTCAGTAAGTACAGCTGACGAAAAGGAGCCCTCAGAAAGTGTAAATGAGGACAAGAATGTGGAAGAGACCGAATTCAAAAAACCTGTTCTGTCGAAGAAAAGAGCGGCTGAAGATGCTGGAGAAGGACCTGATACCAAGAAGCCAGGTAGGTTCAAATGTTATGTGGAGCTTTTCATAAGCGTATTCCTTCTTGCTCGCATTATGTTATGGTCAATTTAGAGCGTAAGTTGAAATTTGAGTCAACATATCTGCGATCTATTCCATCATCTGCAAGCCAGTATGGAAAGTCAATTCATAAGCATCGTGATATTATAACTCAGTCGGCCGTTCTCGCCCAGGCTAGATAGCCGTTTTCTGGCTTTGAAAAAAGTCTCTCTCTTATGTCGCAACGTCTTTGACTACGCTCAAGGGTGGTTGGAAAATTGAACACCATTATAGGACTGATTTCATTATAACAGCCAGCTGTGATGGTCATTTGAAGTTTTGGAAGAAAAAATATGCTGAAGGAGTCGAATTTGTTAAGCATTTCCGTTGTCATCTAGGTTTGTGGATATTGTTGATATCGTTATTTATTAATACTGGAATTTTCGCTGTAAAGAAACCTTTTTTTGTTTCCATTTTCAGCTGCATTTTCTCATTTGTGTACCAACTTTAACGGCACTTTACTGGCGACAGTATGTCAACAAGATAAGAATGTAAAGGTTTTCGACGTAGAGAACTTTGACATGATAAATATTCTCAAATTCGACTTCGCGCCCAGGAGAGCCTGCTGGGTTCATCAAGGTAACGAAATAGATGGATATTTTTCGTTTATAACATGCCTTTCATTAGCTCAATTAGTCGTTAGGATCGCTGCAATGCGCTTTCGTTCCAACGTTGTTGCTCTAGGTGCCGATGCTGTGAACTACCTCGCTGTTTGTGACAGCGCTTCCGGTAAAATAGTCATTGTGGATGGTAAGGGGACAAGCACGCCTCTGTTTACTCTAGAGAAACACCACTACGCACCTGTTCGGCTGATTGAAGTGAGTTTCACTCCCTATTTTCTCGCCCTTGTTTTATGATTTTATGTCATCAAGTTTGTGAAGTTACTGACTCACTTAGCGACTTTAAACGTGGACTTTTATTGGTCTGTTTAGTATAATCATGCGACAGACATCGTTATTTCCGTCGACGATTCTGGGATGATAGAATATTGGAGCGGAGCCGAAGAGGGAGTTTAAGTTTGCCGAGAATGTGAGGTTCAAGTACAAGACCGAAACGGATTTGTATGAGTTTATGAAAGTAAGTTGTCGATCCAAACTCCGTAGCTATCTCTGTGCTCCAATTTTTTTGCCGATTTTTAGGCGAAAACTGTGCCGGTTTCTTTGGCAATCAATCCAAAAGGAACCATGTTTGCTACATTTGGCGAGGATCGACGGATACGAATTTTTTCGCTGGCAAAAGGAAAACTGATAAAGACGATAGATGAGACATTGACAAAGTATCAGACAGAAGCTAAGGAGCAACGGTAAGGTTGAAGGCTTTTCTGCGCTTTCCTATTCAGTCGTTGGGTCTTTAGTTCCTATGGTTTGCAAAACATGGAATGGAATCGACGTGTAGCCTTGGAAAAAGAAATGGATAAGGACCGCGCCAATGCTTTCAAGAACGTGAAATTGTGTTGGGACTATTCTGGATACTTTGTGTTGTATCCTTCTCCAGTTGGAATCAAGGTGAGGCTTATTTGAAAAAAGGATCATTGGTGAGAAATTGGTTATTCAATTAATGTGTTGTCCATTCCATCATGGAAACGACGATTATGCAACTGCAGAGCAGATGCCTTTTTTTCAGGTCTACAATGTTTATACCGACAGCGTGGTCCGAGAAATCGGAAAAGAGGAAACTATGCGATTCATAGGTGTTTCACTATGCAGGTAAGTGTAACTTACCACTTCTCATATCAGTTTTCATGCCTTCGATTTAAGTAGTACGAAATAATGGACTTAGATCAGTCCGGCATGCGAGCTCGTTCAGGGAGCTTATGCAGCCACGATATGAAACTGCAGTGGGCGGCGATTATCCGAACTTGAATGATCACCGATCCGATCCATTCATGCGTAGCGGTCTCTAGTTTCCTTCCCTATCTTGTCTACCTATTTCAGATCTTAATGAATTTCATTTCATAGCGTTAGGGTGTGCAGAACTTGCTGTGCTCTTAGAAGAATCGTTTTTACTACGTTCACAATACGGGACCTATCACAGACGACCGCTTGACGTCTGCCAGTGAGTAGAGACATCTTTCAATGACGCGCACGAAAGAGACCATGATGCTTGTTGAGGATTGGCACAATCTCTGAGTTACTCTAAAAAGTTAGTGAAAGTCATAGAATCTCATTTCGAGAGGTGATGTTGCTTCAATGCGAACTGGGGGAAGAGCTTGTCATTCAACGACACTGGATGAGATATTCGAGATTCGCCTTATTTCCAATGAATGCGCTCAGAACCCGTTGAGAATTTCAGTACTTCATGCAGAGAGGATATTTATAACGCGACTTAACATTTCCACGAGTGATTAATCGTTCATGATTAAGGTAGGAAGTGTCCCATGTTGATAGTTTTTACCTTTGAGTATGATAGTGGCCTCACATCCAACCTCTTCCATGGTTTACCTTGTATGCAAGCTGGGGAAAGGGGGAGAGTCATGGAGATAAACAGATCACATACTGTCAGAGAACTGCTAATTCCTATGCTTCTGTCTCAGATGCTGTGTATTCCATGTGTCATTAAGTGCAAATTAATGACGGTAGGAAGTGGTAATGAAACGAAGCAGCAAAAAAAAAAAAAAAAAAATGTTGATCGCAGTCATACTATCACAGGCAGCGGGTTCGTATAGTATTGTTGTTCAGGACTAAAATGTTCAATTCACTCGATACCTCTTATCATCGAATATTTATCTCAAGTGTTTCTAGACTGGAGATCCTACTGGAAAGGGAACGGGAGGACAGTCAATATGGGGGACGGATTTCGAAGACGAGTTCCACCCACGACTACGACATGACAAGCCCTTCAAGGTACCTGCTCCCTTTCTCCCTTTACTGGCTTTCTATCAGAACTGTTTGCAGGTATCCATGGCTAATGCTGGTCCAAACTCGAACGGCTCTCAATTTTTCATTACTGTTTGTCCAGCAGAATGGTTGGATGGAAAGAACACTATATTCGGAGAGGTATGGGGTTAGAAATCAATATCAGAAGTAGGCATTTTTGGCGCCTTCTCATTGAAACTGGCACTATTTTTTTCGAGTAAGGACCCCATCCCTTTCAGGTGATTGAAGGAATGAACGTAGTACAGAAGATCAACCAAGTGCCAACTTTTGAGAAGAGTGGACGACCACGCTCGGAAATTTCTATAATGTCTATTACTCTGAAGTAGCATTGTTATTTTGATTGTTATCAGTTTCTAATTAGTTAACAATATTGTGCACATTTTATGGTACTGCAACAGGTCAATGAAGTGATCTCCAAAATGTCATTCGGTGTGCATCACTTATTCACAAGGACGCCTCTTTTGCTACGAAAATCTTGCATGAGTGAGGGAACTGAAGCGTCGCGTGCTCACAACGATGTCCCGTCTCCCAACCGTAATGCAACAACCCAGGATGAGGTCATGTGGATTCGTTCATACTTATGAGCAGGAATGACCTGTCCAGTAAATGAGGATTACATTTGTGCTCAAAGCGCGACAAGGGCATTAGGGCCTCACAAAATGAGCAAATCTGAGCAAAAATGAGATTCCTCGCCTTCCCCCCTAATGCGCAACGTGATACGACGTAGCGTAATCCACGTAATATCAACGCGGATTGCGACGCAGTCCAATAATTCTAGAGTCTTTCGGAAATCAACTGTCCAGGGTGCGTTGATAGCCACATGGACTGCTGCCGTGGAGCCAGCAAGTTAGGAAACTCGTCCGAACACGCCCTCTCCTCTTCGCAAGGCGGAGCGTTGCTGAAATAAACGGAGTTGTTGTTAAGCTTGTCATGTGCTGTTTCGTTTGCTTTTTTTCAATTTTATTGAACTTCACACCCCAACCTTCATTGTGGAGCGCTGTTACCCTCACCATGATCCTGGTTATTGCTCCAACAATAAGCGAACATACTTGGGATGGTAAGAAAGTCCTGAGCCGATTTTTCGAAAGCTCCAGAACTTTCGCTTATTGATCGATACCTAGAATCTGCTACGTGATAGATTATCGCTGTCGATCATACTTCTCCGCAGTAGGTATATATAGCCGGGTTGCCTTCTTTAACTTTAATCATGATGTCGATTCCACAAGAGCACTTTCGAGCGATCATCTTCAATGAATGGCGTTGCGGCACAGGAGCAGTGGAAACCGTCAACATCATCAGCATCGCATTGGGAAGGGACACCACTTCCATCACCAGTGCCAAACTCTGGTTCGCAAGCTTCAGAGGAGGAGACACGGCTTCCGAAAACAAGTCAAGGTTGGGGAGCCCCCAAACAGTGGAAGACTCCACCGTTCTCGGCGCTGTCGAAGAGGATCTGGAGATTAGCACTCGCAGCCTTGTGATAAGAGACTTCGGGTGCACCCACACATCCTACAGTCCTCGGTCCCCTCCACGCCCTCGCCACAGCAAAGTGCCGACTCGATGGATCTCTCATGTCTTGACCGATAGCGCGCGGCTCAGGCGGATACCCATTTGTCAGTTTCTCCTTTTCGTCCGCACCGAAAGGAGTTTTTGGAAGGCATGATTACGAGAGATGAGAGTTGGGTCCTCTACGATTCTAACAACACAGTGCCGTGTGGCTCCAACGGGGAGAAGACCTTCTGTTCCACTGTACTCCACGTTTGGCCAAGGGCCCAATAGCCAAGAGACCCTGCAAAATGGAAGAGCCGGCTTAAACGCGGCTTCACACCCACTATTCCCGACGTTGCCCACTCCGATTACCATCTTTATTTCATTCCCTTAAGGCATTCCTAGCGAAGAAAAAATTCACCAAAGTTCGAAGACGTTGAAAGAGCGTGAGCGATTTCTTTGACTCTCAGTCTGCTCAGTTCTGGGAGAAGGGGTCGCTGACCTGCCCATTAGGTGGGACTGTAGTGAGTAACAATGGTGATTATATTTGTTGAGTAGATTCCATTGTACGCGGAATAAAAAAGTAAAGCACAGAAAAAGTGTCAAACGGACTCAGGACTTTCTTTACTCCTTATACATAGGCTATATTTTGTCTCGCGTGTGCACCTCGGAATGATCATTATTTCGTCCATCCTCACTGCTGAAGGCGCCCATTCTTCATTTCACCGTCTATGGCCTTACCACGGAACGCCCTACTATTCGTTGATTACTTTTATGCGCGTGTACAAAACCGTTCAATTACTGATTAGTGTCATAAGAATTACTGCCGCTTGATCTGATACCAGTTATTTTTGTGGTGATCCACTGAGATCAATTTGGTACAAGGCAGACTTATATAGAGTAGAAATGTCATCCAGTCACTGTTTTGTTATGGAGTGGGTAGGACAAGGGGTCGAGGCACAACTATTTCAAACTTGTTTCCATTGCACGTGTTTTTATAAAATTAGCACAGGGAAAACATACTTACATTTATTTGCCTTAAAATTTTTAATTCATTTGCTATAGGGAACTAGTGTACTAGTAACAGCTGAAAAGTACTGTGAAATGGAAATCAACCACTTGAAGAAGAAATGGGAAAATCTCAGTCGCGATTCCTCTCCTTCGCCAACTTCGCTGACTCCTTCATCAACTTATCCGAACGGCGCCGCTTCTTCGAAGACTTCCCTGGTGTCATACCTATAGGATAAACCTGTTGCGCTAGAATCCTTTCCTGCTGGGGCGACGGCTCAGCTGTTGGGGTAAACTTCTGCATTGGAACTGCAGCAATAACCTTGGCGGAATACCCATGCGGGGTGGTCACATGATTCCTCATAAATTTCTCTGGCGAAGGTTCTTTTTGATCTCTGGGTGTTGTTGCCATTTCTCCAGACGTTCTCCGGAGTTCTTGTTTTTCTCTAGACATTCTTCTAGCTGTCTTCTGTAATTCTCTCTCAATAAATCGCGCTATAGCCTCTGCCTGTGGATCACGGGGCTTCTCCTTTCGAGCCAACTTCTTTCGAGCCAAATTGTTGTATAGGTTCACCGCTCCCTGGTCGCTGTTGTTCAGGTGTCGTTTCATTCTCCTTTGCAGTTTCTGCGAAACCCAGTTTTTTCCCTCCTCTCTTAGCCTGAAGTTTGAAAAGGAAATGATGGAATACGCTCAGAACTCATCACTCCTTCAGCTACTGGATAGAAGCAATTCAGCTTACCTTCAGCTCGAGAATCTGTTGCTCTTTGGATGCCCAGTAGTCCTCCATCGCGTCTCTTCTACGTTTTTTACTTTCCGCGACCAGCTGCTCTTTCTCTTTATCACCTCGCAAATCCGTGATGGAAGTCTGAAAGGCGCTGTTTGAGGGATCAAACTTTGTTTGCATCCCAACAATATAGTGGGGTGTGCAGCAGAATGTATGGGATAGTTCTTTATTCAAAAGTAGACAAACTCCAGAAAATGCCACAGAAAAAGACGTTTTACAGACTGATTGCCTCCAGAAAGCATCGCTTATGTTCTTTTTTTTAGCATTAAAGGATATAAGCGAATTGTTCGGTCGGTCGCCGGACGTTTTGCAGACTGATTGCTCGCAGAAACACGTTAATGTTTGTTTTTTCGCAATGAAAGGTAATTACGAACCAATTGTTCGGTCGGTCGCCGGACTAACATGTACCTTGATAATGACCATGCCACCGAAATTGAATCGTCAGATGTCGGTCAGACTCTGCGATTGCACCGCGATGCAGTCGGCCCCCCCATGCCAGAGACGAGCGGACGGTGAGATTCGTGCGAGCGACGGGAGATTTACCCGAGCGGCGCCGTGTGTATCGGTCGTCGGCGGGGTAAATCTCCCGTCGCTCGCACTTTTTGGAGCGATGCCAATCGCTCTAGGCAGAGCGACTGCATCGCGCGATGCAATCGCAGAGTCTGACCGACATCTCGATAGTTGCGTCACCAGTTAAGTGACGCACCATTTATTATCCTTTATGTATATACACGTCCGTTATCCACGTCGAGGCTCTTGTAGATATGGACGGTATATTACGCCACACGCACGACCGAATGTTGGGAGCATCAGTTTCTTTGGGTTGATGAGCCAGAGTCGCTCACAAAGGTCGCAAACAGGCCGTCATCATGGCTCCCAGCGAGACTTGAGCCGGGACTTGAGAAAAACTTTTCTTTGCCAACGGAAATTTGCACCTCCAGGCAGTTTCGTCTAATAATTAATGCTTTCTCGTTTAGGCGTGCAATGTTCCCATTTGTTACTGCTTCTGTTCTGTCCCCTTTGTAGACTCCTAGAAAAAAACGGAGGCCCTCATTCAATGGGCTTCCAAGGATTCTTTTCCTTTTTTGTCACAAACGTACAAAGCCACGTCTGCATATTACACGCCATAAATAGATCACCCCTCGGACACACAGTGATTGCGGCACCGTAGTAGTATTGACTCGACCCGGCCCTGGTTAGGCAGTGTTGAAAGTACTGAGTCGCATCCTTCATCGGACGGTATGGCAAGCATGTGGAGAGGCCGAGGAAAATTTCAGGGTTCGGAGCACCTTCGGCGGCGTTCTAAAAAATGACAACACAGCCCCCAACGGCAAAAAACAATTCCTTCCAATGTTGCTCTTCAAGAGCTAGGCCAATTCAGTCACATCAAGCATTATGTTCTTGCTCTGCGAGAAACTAAGAGCGGCTGACGTTTTACGAACGAATGATGGGACCTTTGTTATCCGGTCATCGAGGTGAGAAACTTCCATCGAGAAACGTTGGGCGTTGGCTCAGCCGTACTTCCATCTCATGACTTCGATGCAAGGCTTGGTAAAACACCAAAACAGGAGTACAGGATCAAAAAGTGGAATGTGAGACCGATGCCGGAACTGAAACCGCCTGGCAAACTTCTGTTCGCGGCTCAACTTTTCTACGTTACCCACTTTTCTGGAGAAAGGAAATCGCCGTTGTACATTGGGATCCTCCAAACAGCACAACCCATGCCGAGATGGACTACAACTAGCCAACAGCAAGTGGTGCTTGCTCTCAAAATCAGGCGAAAGAGGCAAATCAGGTCGTATACAATGGAGACACTTACGGCGCGATGCTTGCAAGCTCATTAATGAGTAGTAGGTCATGGAAGAACCCACCGTAGACCACGACGCTCGCTTTGCGCTCTGGTCTCGTGTGCTGAACAGGCTAAGCTTTCTCGGGCTGCGCAGCTCGGATCTACGCAGAATGTCCTTCTCCACGACCCTGTGGAGTTCATGACAAATATGAAGTTGCAATGGTCTGGTCATATCGTGGGAGAGGTGATGACAGACGGATAATAAAAATGGTAGAGTGGGCTCCCGTAGGATTTTCACTGTCGAAAGGGGGACCTGTTGCAAGATTGTGAGATGCGCTCGTCAATCACGGAATGCAGCTGCGAATGCAGCTGAACGATTCTTCAGATCGCCGTCGTCGGCTTCCGCACCAAGCTTTCATGGCGATCGCGAAATAGAGGAACGAATTATTCGTTGCTGGTGCTCGGAGGTGAAAATGAGGACGAGCCATATAAGCATAGAAGTTGAGCGTCTACGTATTAACAGTATTTGCCATGCCACGTTTAGTCGTGAAAATTCTTCTTTTACTATGCTTACCAAATTATCAGTGCCTGGATGGGGCTCCTGATGTTTCTCTTGCTCCAAGCGTTTCATTTTCCCAATTTCCACGTTCCTCTCGAAATCTGTCACTCCGATCGCACCTTCTTTTTTGAACGTGAAGCGATCCCTCATTGGGGTTTCTCTCCGATAAGAGAACCTGGGGGGATTGCAACCTCCCTCCCTGTAGACCTCCTGTGCGGTCTCACTGGAAAGTCCGAGGAGATGGAAAGGATGGAAGCTTACTCTGAAAACAAAATTACACAATATAATCTTGGGTACTGCCTCACCGCAACGTCACTGACACATTCGGGTGGATCTTTTGAAACGCTGCAATTCCCATCGTACATATCCAGCCAGCAATTTGCGCCCTGAAGTAATTGTTATTTCATTACAGCGCATTCACATAGAATCGGAAGTGCAACAGGTCGCTACTACAGGATAACTAAGCAAAACATACTGGACGCAGCTCACGCTCCGTGGAATTCGTCATTGAAAAGAAGGGCTTGCTAACGGAATAGAGTTCCAGTGGAAACGGATGCTACGACTGACCGTGACTGAGAAGCACGCCTTATGCGGAAGTCGCATTCTGCCACCGTATAGACAGGACATTCCCTAGGTGGTCACCAGTGCTGATGAGTCAGAAGTCTACCGCGATAACAACACGCGGAATGCGTCGTGGCTACCTCGCAGGCTGGACACACAATCTGAACCTAAGCCCGAGTTCTTTCACCATAGGATATCACCACAGATTGGTGGATTCGCTGGCTATCCCGTTTTGAGAAACAACTCACTTTGAGCAGACAATCATTGCGAAGATGACTATGGAATATCTCCCGAAAATGACCACAGCAGCTGAAGAACGGTTTGAAACGTCTCAAAATCTCCCTTCTCCGAAGGACCGCCCGAAAATCACATTGCAACGATAACTCGCCCGCGTTCTAGGGGAACTAGGTGAACAGCGACACCATCTATTGTATAGCCTCGACATTACACCTCGTAATACCACCATCTCTCCAACTCCCTGAAGCAGCAGCCAGGAGGGAAAAAAGTCAGTAAGTTTAACTGCCTCAGAAACGACTCGCCTAGCTTTCCATCTCACAGTGAACAAAAACTGCCGGAGAAATGCACCATTCGTCTCCTAGCAGATGGGTGATATCAGTGATTACGACGGTGCGGGCCGCTGGTTATATTTCAACCAGTAGATTTTGTAGCAAAGATAAAAACTTGAACAGATTAAAGTGTTGAAATCCGGCCAGAAATTATGGGACAACCCACTATTTTTGGGACAATGCATCATATGCCGCTTATACCCACACTCGTCGGCTATTGGCAACTCGCTTGAGCCAGCCAATTCCGCAGATTGCCATGCTCCTCCGGCTTCATTCTTGAGCCTAGTCCTGTCGTAATAGCTGAACAAAGGGCTCAGTTGACTCTTTTGATTATAATGATGGCGTCTAGTGGCTTGAAACTGAGGTTCATGATCGGCACGCCTAGTGGTGAAATGAGGTTATGATGGATTGATGCCAGGTCGATCCTGGCGGCAGATCCTATATTTTGAAATCGGCCAATCCCCACGATCAGCCTTGTGTGCGAACCACGAACCGTCGTACACCGCTCAATCAGTTCGACAAAGCAGCCTTCAGAAAGCCATTATATCAAACCATAGCAGTTTTGGCTCCAAGTGCTCGACCCCCCAATCAGTCAACTAATTCACAGTGAACCGTTTAGTAACACAGCATCGAAAACTCACCTTGTGTAGCTTAGGAATGGCACCAGAACGAAGGCCCCAAATCAGCAGGAATTTCATAGCGAAGATCATCTCATTCCTATCTATCATAAAGCCGTTGCATTTTGCTGAAAAAATGCTTGATTACCAATTCATTTTGTTTCACATAATACATGTAGGAAAGATGCGAAAACACAGCACACAAAAATGACCGTAAAATGCTACCATTATGCAATTTGAATGCATCGGTCAACTGAATTGGAGTTTCCATTCGAACGACAAAGCTGTAGAGAAGATGCAGGAGCGAGAATATTTCCTTGTGACGATTACTGACACATATCTGAACAAAAAAAAAAAAAAAAAAAAAAATAACATGGTGACATTTCTTTCGTTCACGTTGTCTGCCTCACTGCTGGAGAAGCCAAATGCGTTAAACGAACAACACTTACCGAACGATTCGGAACCTCGCAAAACTGTACTAGGCGTAGCATTTCTTCGGCTTTGATACTCAAATCCAAGGGGACCCCTTTAAAAGGAATTTTGAAAGAAATTACGATCCAACAGCAAGTACTGATCCTTCTTTTCGCTTTCTTTATACGTAAACAATTCTGTGAAATTTTCCGTCATGATGAAGATGGATGTGCCTACCTCCTCATTATCAAAATCGCCATCGAAAACCAAAACCGATCGAAAAGGCGCCTGTCCTCACCACCTAAGCTTGACTTAAGGTCGATTTTCCGCTGCTCGGGTTGCGCTACAGGATTAGGTGGATGGGTAAATGCTGGGAGTGCGTACAAAGATTAAAGTGAAAAAGAAGCAAATCGTCGGAATTGCGAGCTCCATCTTTCTAAAGACCCTGTCGTGCAAAAGGGGACAGCGCGCAGAGAAGCAAAAGTATCGAAGGATCACGCTTTGCGGAAGGGCACAGATAACCGCCGCCGCATATCGAGCACTGAGTAACTAGACAGAAGCACTAATGGAGCGAGCCATTCACAAGGCTCTAATGCCGCTTTTCGCCGTTTTCCAGCCCTGATAAACGGCGCCACGGTCTTGCTCGCAGAACTTTTGGGTTGTTGAGGCATAAATGTTTCATTACATACAGTTAGATGGGAAAATATCAGTGAATAGTTGAACGATATATTAGGTTTTTGGGAAAGTTTTGTCCCACTATTTGAATTCGGTGAATCGTATCACAGTTTTACAGTCTCTGAGCGGCAGTTTTGCAACAACAGACGAGGTAATATTCCTTCTATCAGTAGCACTACATTGTTTTTATTCCTCTTTTTGCCGTATGCAGAACAATTATGTCTCCGATCGTCAGCACATTGTTTCATGTTACTATTGGGTTGATGCATAGTTATTGCAGATTTTTATTGCCCGCTTGTTTTTTCGGCCTCTTGTTTAATTATTTTCCATGAAAACATTTCTTCTTTCTTCTATTAACAGAAATGCTTATCGAAAGTCATCATCATATTCATCACATCCACTCTGCCACTTCAGGAAAGGTTGAAAGGCGGCAGAGTCGTTTCGCGATCTCGACGAACTTTTCGGCGATGGAACAGTCAGCAAAAGCCAAGTTGAAAGCTGGTTGAAGAGGTTCAAGAATGCCACATTCACCGGTCGAAGCTCCTACAGACTACCACTTCGATCAGTCGCTGAAAAAACTGGTAAACGAACAAAATTTACGATGAGCTGGATGACTTGGAGGCCGATGTTAGAGCGTGGATCGTCTCCGGAGAATCGTAACTTCAATGAAACGACCGACTGAAAAGCAAATGGGAAGCATTCTTGATGGATGGTGAATACGATTCGGAATAACAATTTAAACATGTTTCTGTTAAATATTTTTGTCGTCTTCAGTGTTGAAATTTGTTGAAAAAATCCGCAATAATTATGCATCAACCCAATATTTTCTTCTACCATTCGCGCATGGAAGCTACCGAGGCTAAAAAGGCTAGAGTAGTATGACGATAATGCTCCAGGTACAGGACCATTGTTTGTTGGTACAAACGCTTCTAGATGAGAAACTACACCCTCGTAGGCGAAGAGAGGTCTGGACGCCCCACCTAAACGCAACTTGAGCAAGCTTCGGCACGTAGTGAAGACTGATTAATTTCAATCTACGAAGAAAATGGCGAACACGTTCGGAGTTTACAGCTCCATTATCGAAACTGAGCTGCAAAAAATGGGAATGAAGAGGAAGCTGGTTGATACGTACAGGCGATGGAGAGTGGATCTACTATCACATTGCGCACTATAACACTAAACACTGTGCGCCGGTCCAGGAGAGACACCGAAGGAGATTCGCAAAGAGGTTCATCCCAAGAATGTTATATTGTCAAAATGGCGTGATATACATGCAACAGCTGCGGGATCTGAAGCGAATCGTCGATCAGCGAAAAAGAAATGGTCGAAAACAAAACCAAAAAAAAAAATGTCTACATTTTAGCATGATAATTGGGCAACTGCACGTTGCAAAAGAGGAAGTCTGAGCTCGAGCCAGTATTGAGTGGACGGTACTCTGTGTATTTCTTCGAAAAGTCGTGGAGACATCGATCCTCCAAATAATTGCCTTTTTATCCGATCTAACTCGTTACTTAGACGGAAAAAACTCCAGAGTCGCACTAAAGTCAAAACCGAGTTGACGTCGTACTTGGTCTTGCACCGGCCTGCATTTCGGGGGATGACATTCACAAGCTACCTGAATGTTGGCAAGAAGTGGCCGACATTGATGGTCGATATACTCAGTCTTGTGCTTCCGTACATTAACAGAGCTTGTTACTATGAAATGAGACAAAACTTTCCTTGACAACCTGATACTTACAAATATCTACTGTTTGAAATTGGAGGCACAACAACTACTCTAAGTGTTCCGGTTAATAATGTAAGAACGATAACAGTTCCGCCATTTTGGAACACCGCCTCCTTAGTTTTAGTCAGTATTATGAAAGTTCGGCGAGCGCACGTAATTTTCCAAATGCGATCTACTTGTACGTCCCAAATCAAAGAATTACAATAATTTGGAAGTATATTAGGTGATGGCATTCGAAAACGTCTGAACCACCAAAAAAACGCACCATACAAAATATACGAGTTCTAAGGTTAAATACTTGGTTCTGCCTTCACGTTTGAACTCGACATCGTATACAAAAAAGCGCACGTCTTTGGTAGTTCTAGTCACGGATTTAAAACGAATAATTATTCTGGAGGAACCTTCTGAAAAGAAATGCAATAATTGTGATGTTAAAACTTTCCTTCCTTCACTCCCTTCTATCCTTTTTTCTAAAGGGCAATGCAATAACTGCGATGGAAAAGCATTCCACCCTTCCCTCCCCTTAATCTCATTTGTCTCAACTTGTCGAAGAATTAGACAACAGTCAAAAATCCTCCTATTATGTAAGCCTTT